ATGTTTATTAGACAAGATTGTTTGAATAATTTTATTTAAAAATAAAGAAAATGATTAGAATTGGAGATTAATTATTAAGAAGTAGGAATGACAAGCAAGTCGGTACAAAGTAGGTATCCTACCTGACCCATCCATTAATTATCCTTGTAATGGGCTAAATATGAGTAAAATAATATTATCCATTTATATTAATAGACAATTAATTAATGAATATGGATACTCTTTTTTATCTTGCCGATATCCATTACTTACCCACTCATATATATAAAATTAAAAAAAAAACTTTAAATTAAGGAGCATGATCAAACCCGAGTATATGACCATTGGCCAATTGTAGTCATCTAAAATTATCGTTCACTTGATGATTAGGAATTAAAATTATAAGACAGACTCTAATCAAGAAAATATATCCACCTATATTCTATCAAACAGAATATATAGTGTTATTAGTGATTTCATCATCCATATCAATCAAAAAAAAAAAAAAAAAATCAGTTTTTAGTATTTTGTAGGATAATGTTTTCAATTCCTTTATTGAAGTTCGAAAGATAATTCATTTACAAAATCTTATAAACCAATTGTCGGATACATTCTCAAATCTAAAAAGAGTAACTAAAACACATGTCTCTACTAAGAATGATTCTATTACAATTGATGTCCCAAAAGGATAATTTATTAATGTTATAGCAAATGAATCTAAAGCACGCCCGAAGTGTGGAAGACCAATCGAGTTTAAAAGATAAAAATCTTCGAACGAAAAGTGCGGACAATCAAGATAAAAATATCAAAGAAGAAAAAATATTTACAAAAAATGGTCCATGTTATTTTTTATAATAAGCTCTTAGAAAAAGTCCAAATGCTTGAGAAAAATCAAAAGACTTTGATAAATTATGTCAATATAAGTAGAAAATAGGATCGAAAAGATTATTTATTGATAAAATTTATGCATATAATGTTGCAATTGATATTTTAAATGAAAATAAAGATCTTGAGCCTAAATCTATTGAAGAATGTCAATATAGAGGTGATTAACTTAAATGAAAAGAGTAATCCGGACAGAATTATATTCTCTTACAAAACAAGTAGTTTTTGAATTTATAGTCAAAACACTTGAAAATGTTAATTTATTATGATACAAATAAATATTTGTGCGAGCACAAAATAAGAAAGATGAAATTGTGAGATACAAAGCAAGACTTATAACATAAGAGTTTTCACAAAAAACTTGACATTGATTATGACGAGACATATTCTTACGTAATTGATGCTATTACATTTCGTTATCTCCATAGCCTAATAAATATATGAAAAAAATTTATATGCATGCATTTAATAAATGTGATCACAACTTAATTGCTCATTTGAAATGATATCTATATGAAGGTCTTAGAAGGATTTAAGATGTTGAAGCATGTAATACATATTCCCGAAAAATAAATTCAATTAAATTATATAGATCTCTAACAAGATTATTTAGTTTTTAAAAATTTAATTTATGCTATATTTTTTTTTCAATATCTATTCTTTATTACTAACTTATGCTCTTGTGGGATAATCGCTTCGATAAATATTTATTAAAAGAAGTTTATAAAAATAAGTATATTTGTTCATTTATGTTTACAAAGAAATTCAAAAACGAGTTTGTGATAATTGTTGTATATATTGATGATTTAAATATCATTGAAACTCGTTAAAGAGATTCAAAGTGCCATAAGTTATCTAAAAACCTTGAAAAAAGAAAATTTTATCTCAATCTATAGTTTGAGCACTTAGAGAATGAGAATTTTATTTATTAGCCAATTTATATAAAAAAAATTCTACGGTGATTCTATATAAAGCTTATCTATTGACTAACCCAATAGTAGTTCGTTTACTTGATATGCAAAAAAAGATCCTTTTTCGGCTTTGAGAAGATAACGAAGAATAATTTGGTCCTCAATTATCATATATCGGTGCAATTGGTGTATTGATATATCTTGCTAATAATACTCAACTCGATATAGCTTTTTTCTTGAAAAAAAAATTATTAACAAGACATAGTTCTCCTCTAATACAATAACATTAAAATGGAATTAAACATTTCCTATGTTATCTACGAGAAAATTAATATAGTATTTGTTTTACTTTAATAAATCAAAGACATGATTAAATGGTTATAGAGATGTAAGTTATTTATCTAATCCATACAATTCTTGGTCATAAATAAGTTATGTATTTACACATGATGATACAACTATATAATGATGTTTCATGAAGTAAAGTATAACCGTTACATATTCAAATCATGCGGAACTATCAATTCATGAGACAAGTGAATAATGTGTTTTGGCTAAGATTAATGACTCATTATATCCGAGAGACATAAGGTTTATCTATCGGCAAAGAAGTTCCAACAATATCATATAAAGATAATGTTGCTTACATAATTCAATTAAAGAAAAATACATCAAAGTGATAATCCAATGGACTTATTCATTAATTTATTACCTACCACAATTTTTGAGAAAATGATTCGCAAGACCGAGATGCGTCATCTTAAAGATCTTAAATGATGTTTTCAACATGAAAGCCTAAAATAGAAATTAATATGTATAAGGAATATTGTATTCTTTTTCATTCATTAGGATTTTTTCCACTAGGGTTTTTTCTAGTAAAGTTTTAATGAGACATATTCCTTGTACGATGGACGATCAAGAGAGAGTGTTATAAAATAATGAATATTCATGATCATTTCATATTTTCACTACTCATCTAATTCAATTCATCAATCAATATAAAAAATTTAAAGGATTATGCAATTGATTCAATTATTTATGAACCTTTTAATAATTCATAGTCTCTTTCAATTTTCTTCCTAATTTTGAAACCTATAAATAGGTTTGATTGTTCATTAGCTTAAATAAAAATATTTTGTAGAGATTGAAAGAAATATTTGGAGTGATTATATCTTGTATTCACTGTATTTTATAGTGAATTTATTTTTCTAACATCTTTCTCAATAATTCTATTGTTGTTATCATTTTTTCATAACGAGACACGAAGTTATTTGTTAATTTAATTTAAGAGAAGAAAGGGATTTTTTATTTTTATTTATGAATTAGCCATCATTCTAAATATACTAACATATTTTATTTTAACAGCAAACCAATTTGGACCTTGATATTATTTGCCATCACATTCTGAATCCCAAATCTCTAGATGACAGCTACTCCACATTTATATATCCTCGAATCAAGCATTTGATATTATAGCACAAGTGGACTACAAAAGATGTTAGAACTCAAGATTTTACCATCGACTGACCACTTATGTTCTAGACATGCTAACATCAACAACTACCATGAATTATTATAATTACAAGGAGTGATTCAGTGCTGGTAGTTTTAAACTTCTAGTGGAAGGTATAAGGTTCAAATTTCACTTCTGGTGTCTTCATGCGGCCACCACAAGACTTATACTTGCTTCCTCGATTTTAAAAGTGTGGAGAGTTTGGAATTTCAGGCTTTAAAATCAATTTATATCCACTGAAAGTGATTGAAAGGTGGTTAATTTTTGAGAGAAAAAAAAAGAATTATTATAGATTTGGAAAAAAAATGATAATGAATTCCTCTAACACATGTGTTAAACGTAATAAAAAAACATTTAATAGCCGTGAGTTTTACGTTCACAACTGGACATGTAACATGGTTTACCAATTTCATTTATATGTTTTAATTATCTCTTAAAGTTTAATTAGCACCTTACAAGAAAATATTGAAGGCTACCATGTATGCACTCACATAAATTTTAGAAAAAACCTCAATTTAGTTCCAAATTTATATGCTCGCTCAATGCTGAGTACCGAATCCATAAATATTATCAATTATATTCTAAATGTTTCAAAAAATTCTCAACCAAGTCTTTTTTTTTTAATGTTTATTGATATTTTTATCAAATTTTCTTCACATTGATGCTATTTTAGTGCATAAATATGCACATTAAACTAAAAATGTTAACGTTCATCGACTTTTTCATTAAATTTTCTTCAAATCAACACAATTTTAGTTTATAAAGCATATAAATTGGACTTAAATTATTAAAATGAAATCGATAAAAAAACACAATTTAAAAATGTAGGAAAAGTTTGGAATGTAATTGAAATGAACATATAAATTTAGGACTAAACTGAGGTTTTTTTTAAATTTATGACCCGTCACAAAGTTTATCTAAGATTTACGGGTTGCAACCTTTTAAGTGTGGATTCATTAGGAAGGACCTAATATATAATAATCGGTTAATATTCTCGCATGTTTTGTCATGATAGGTTAATTTTCTAATCTGTTTCTTAAAACAAAAACATCTTTAATATATTTTTATGTTTTAAATTGGTTTCTAATATTTTATTTTAGTTAAAAATTTTAATAAAATTAAGTTAAAGTATACATGTGATTTGCACACAGTGTATGATTTGATATAATTATCTTTATTATTTGATACAAATGATTTATTTATACTAATATGAATAATAATTTTTGAAAATTAAGTAGAAATTTTGACTAAAAAAAATATTAGAAACAATAGACATATTAAAAATATTTTTTAAAAAAATAAATTAAGAAATTAGCTTATTATACAAAAAAAATATGTAAAGATATTTTAAAAAGTTCTGAATGAAATAATTTTTATCAGGGAAAAAAAGAAAAAGAAAAAACCGTACTGGATCAGAAAATTCAATAGTCGCAGGGTCGGTCACGTTTCCTAACTAGACAACAAAGGAGAATGACCAGCATAATTAGCACTCTTTAGTTTTCCGGAAGCGCGTGGTTTTGACGCCCACTGAAGTCACGTGGGTGTCTAATTTTCTCACTTTTCTTGGTGACAAACAACTAATCAAACGGCCGGCTATATATAGACCAAGAAATTATTAAGTTTCAACTCACAGGCAAGAAAAAGAACGCGGAAATGGCTTCTTCTCTCAAGATTTTTATGTTGGCGATGATGGTTGTGGTTTTTTTTCAAGCATGACAACTTTAACCGAAGCACAAGACACATCTACATCTTGTGCGTCTAAGTTAGCACCATGCCAACCCTACCTTAGCACCACAACCACCCCACCAGGCAGTTGCTGCAACCCCATCAAAGAAGCAGTTGCAAAGGAGCTCCCTTGCCTTTGCAAAATCTATAGTGACCCCAATTTGCTTCAGGGTTTGGGTATAAATGTCACTCAGGCTGTCATGCTCAGCCAGAGATGCGGTGTCCCCACTGATCTCAGTAGTTGCAATGGTATTGTGGATTCTGTGTTTGAGTGATTTTTTACTAATCTAATTTGTATTGCTTCTTGGTTAAGAGTTGTTTGGTCATGGGTTTAATTGGGACGTTGATGGTTTTGACCCTTTGGGTTTCAAGAAATTTCAGCTTGATTTACTACCTTAATTTTGTTTCTGTTATTGATTCTTGTCTTTCAGTTTGTTTTCTTCAAATTTTCTTGATATTCACATTTTATTTCACATCAGGGTGGCTAATTCCAATTTTTTCGGATTAGAATATTATGTTATTTTTCAATTCAAGTTCTTGGACATGAAACTAATTATTTTCTTTTATTTGGTTACTTTTTACAGCTTCAGCTCCATCGCCAACTGCTCCAGGTAATAGTTCTTATTTTGTGATAATATAAAAGTAAAAATTAGGTTGTTTTTCGATGTCTGAGTATCATGTTCTGGAGATATTAGATTATGATGTTTGGGTGCCAGGCTGTTTCTGACTTTTGGTCAGTTAATTAATTGGTAAAGCGCCTTCACAGTTTAGGCAGTTTTTGGTGAAATACTGCGCCTACTCAACTGCTAAATCAATGTGTCATAATTGAATCCTTTAGGTATTAGAAAGGCGAGTCGAAATGATGATGCCTAGCTTGCTCTTTCGGTGCCACCGATTTTGACTGACTATTTAATTTGTAGCTACCAAACACACATGTTCTGAGAGAAAACCTCATGTTTTGTCTCTATTTCGATGGCCAATGATACTTTATGTGAATGATAAAAAGAAAAGGGTAAAATCCTGAATGTGATAATGATACAAATCAGAAGAACAAGGGACTTTGTTATAACCATATTTGCTGCTTTGTCGTTTGTATTCAACGTGTATGTTAATGATACAAATCAGAAGAACAAGGGACTTTGTTATAACCATATTTGCTGCTTTGTCGTTTGTATTCAACGTGTATGTTCCTTTTCCTCTCCAACCCTTTGCTGGCTTCCAAATGAAGGATTTAGTTATGCTGCTTTAAGATTATTGTTGGCAGACTGAAAAATTTGGAGAGGTAGTATGTAACTAGGTACTTTGTGACATTGCTCCCAGTGTAAATTGATTGGCTTTCTTTCAATTTGCAAGATGACAAATTTTAAAATTGTAGGGTAGATCTGCTAATTGAGTTAAGTAATAACACGGCAAACGTGCTTCCGGGAATATGGTAGACATGAACTGGAAAATTTGCATCCTCAAGGATTGGTGATTGTCGTGCAGCAGTGGTTAAAAATTGCGAGCTTGAATCATTTCGATTATGTATCTGCTATATTAGTTTTCTATCTAATTCATCATTAATGTGCCATAACTTTTACAGCGGTTCCTGGAAATGATGGAAATGGAGGTATCAGAATTGCATGGACTGGATTTTCAGGCTTGCTCGTGTTATTAGTTGGTTCTCTCTTATATTAGGCGATCCAAATTTGTTGTTCAAAACCATCAGGATGGGGTTTCTAGAGTAAATAATGTCGAGAGCATTTGTGTAGTAGGGAGCCATATTTTCTCTATTTAGTGATTCTTTTGCTCACTTTCTTTCTCTGGGTTGATATCTCATTGATATGAACATTATTGTTATTTTATACTCCCTCGTAATTTATTCAGCTTACGTGAGACTTGAATTATGATGCCTGTGGCATTGGGATGTTAATATTTGCCAGTTTTCTTAGTTTCAAATCTGTTATCGTATGACAACTAGCTTTATTTATTTATTTATTTATTTTGTTGTTGTTTGAGTTGACTGTCTCTTTCAAAAATAATGACTTGCTAGATCAACCCAACCACGGATTACATCAGTTGTCACTGATGAGCCTTGGCTCATTGCCGAATTCCCAAGTTCAATCATAAGCCGTGGTTTTGTTTCTGCACTAGGATCTCAGTTTGCCACATTACTTTTTACATTCAAGCGGATGTGACGGGAAAAAGAAAAAACTCATTACAAAAAATAGGGATGTAAAAATAATAAATGTAATGATAATGGTAATTATGATTGATACGATGGTTGTAAAAATAATAAATATAATGATAATGGTAATTATGATTGGTATGATGGTACCAGTGTTTGTAATGGTGGGTGGCAGTGGCTCTACTGATAGTAGTAGTGGCAATAGTTTTGGCAACGGTGTTGGATCTGTTGGTGACTGCGGTGGTGATAGAAATAGTTAATAGATAATAGATAGATAAAATATATTATTATTTTGAAAAAAAAAGTTTTCATTTTTAGTTTTTATTTTCACATTTTAGATGGAAATGAAGTTGTGTTTAATTTTTATTTTTATTTCATTCTTTTTAATCAAAAAGCTACAACGTAAGAATAAAACATCTATTTCTATTTCTATTATTCTATTCTTGATTATCAAGTAGCACCTAAAAGGCATGGAGATTTTGTTGTTGTTAAACTGTTCATCCATTTTCATTTTGTTGTTTTTTTTTTTTTTTTATCCTTTTGCATTATAAAAAGCCTTTTTTTAATCCTAAATTACTCTTATTGCCACTCAATGGATTTACGAAAATCCAATTTACCTTTTGACTGATATCCTTTTTAATTTTCTTTCCTAATCTTTTTTCGTCCTTTCCCTTCTTCTTCTTTTTTTTTTCCTTTGCATTATAAATGACTTTCTCTTTTGTTTTTAATTACTCTCATTGCCATTTAATGGATTTATGAAAATCCACATCTACCCTTCATTTACTCTCCTTTTTCATTTCTCATTTAGCCTTTTTTTGTTCATTTCCTTTTCTTTTCTTGATGAAGCATTTAATGCCCTTCTATTGGGTTTGTTTTTCCTCCTCATTTTCGTGAGAGGAGAGAAGCTTCAAGAGGAAATTATAAATTAGTCCCTCTTTCATAGGGAAATGAATTAATTAGTTCATTTGATTTCAAAAATTAATTTTTGTCATTCTTGCTTGCTTTTCAATTTTTTGACTTTTTTTTTAAGAAACAAGAAAATAAAAAATAAATAAAACATGAAAAAGATTGATGAGAAAATAAGACATTTTTAAAAATAAAAATAAAATAGTCTAGCTAAAAAGATTAAATAATTATTTTTTGAAGTCAAAATGATTAATTAATTGATTTCTCAAAACAAAAAGGATTTATTTATAATTTATCTATCACTATATTTACATCTATTATATGAAATAATTATATCTATCATTGTATTCACATCTACGACATGAAATAAATATATCTATATGCTATGTTTTTATATTTTAAAATAAACATATATTTTAGATTATATTACTATTATTGTTTAAAATTTATTTCTTCAATTTGTCATTTCTTATTAAAATTTTCATCAAATCAATTTTTATTTTGTTTAAGTATTATTTATTGATAAACATGATTTATTGTTCTTTATGCATGGATTTTTAAATAAAAATTTATAGCATGATTATTTTTTAAAAAAATAAATTTATATAATTTATATGATGAACTCTTAGAATTTTTAAATGATAACGACATACACACACACACACACACACACACACACACATGTATATATATATACATGTGTGTGTATATATATATACGTGTGTGTGTGTGTGTGTATTAAAAATATTTTTTAGAGAATTTGTATTAGATTTTTTGAAAAAAATAATTTACAAAATAATTTTTTAGTTCTAAATCTATGGAGTTTTAGATTTTATTTTTAGATTATCACAAGTTTTTAGTTAAGAATCGAATAAATAAGAATAAATCATTTTTTTTTTTAGAAAATGTTTGAAAAATACAACGAATAATTAGTCAAATGCAAATTTTTAATAAAAATAATTATTATATTTTGGTAAATTTGCGAGTATAGCGTAAATCTTCAAACTAAAATAATTTTACATATTCTTTTCGATCGGCAATGTAAATCGGGTAAAAAACTAGTCCTTAGCTACAACTGGAGCGGAGTTTAAGATGTGCATATTATATATAAAAAATAAATAAAAGATTTGGACTTTTGGTTGTTCATTAACTATAGTTTTTTTTTTTTTTTTTTTGGTTTGGTTTGGGTCGTTGGCAAGGTTTGGTTACTTGTACCATTTTTTTTTTTTTTTTTTTTTTAAACATCCGGGCTGTCGGCAAGGATTTGTTATTGTAGTATACTTCTTCTTTTTTTGGCTGGCTTTTTTTTTTTTTTCCTTCACGGCTAGGTTGCGCCAATTGAGAAAAGAAATAAGGATTGATGATGACAATTGTTCCCCTTTTATATAAATAATTTTTTTTATATTTTTTTATCATAAAATTAGGTGTGAAAATATATAAATATATATTTTTTTAGTTTTATGTACAGTTTGACGATAATATAATATATATGATTTTTTTTTAGATTTTAGTTAAGAATTTATCAAAACCAATTTTATAGTAGCTTTTATTTAAATCTATTTACTTCAATATATTCCATGCGATTTAAGTGGGTTTTTTTATATGTTTTTTATTTTTTTATATTCTCCGAATATGCTAAGTACAATATATATATAGTTTTGTTAGAAATTAATTATATTTGCACACATTACACTAATTATTTGTTATTTATTTTTTTCATATTCTAAAATATATATTTTTAAGTAAAATAATTTAATTAGTGTTTCGAAAGAACCTCTTAATTATTCGAATACAAATTTTTATACTAATATTATAAATTATTTTATTAATAAATATATATAAATCAAACAAATTTGTTCAATATATAGATTCAATTTACATTAACCTTAAGAAACAAAATATCTATTCGCCTTATACTATTTGAATCGTTAACCTTATTTATATAATAGTTATCTATCCGTAATGTAGCGTGAATATCTAACTTATTTGAATCGTTAACTTTATTTATATAATGTTTATCTATCTATAATATAGCGCGGATATCTAACTTGTAATTCTATGAATTCAATTAAGATGATAAAAGAAACTTCAGTTAGGTAATGGACTTGATCCATATGGTTACCATGGCCCTTTAGGAGTTTTGCTTCCACCTGAACCTTGTGAGAAAAATGCACATCTCGACAGTTTTTGAGCAATGAGCAGTGGGGGTCAAAGACGTTGCTTGCTTTGTTCATTGGCTTTTGGTTAAAAAAAAAAAAAAAAAAAAAAAAGCCTTCGCTTCTTCGTTATTGGCGGGTTGAGATGATTTTCAACGCCTATATTAATATTGATTCGCCTTTGGGTTTCAAATTATGATGCTGAATACAGTGCATTTTATTGCCCCTGAAGGTTATGATTATGTGTCTATGGGAGTTTGCTGGGAAATTACATACGATCACAAAGCCTTTTTTTTTTTTTTTTTTTTTTAACTGAGCATCTCTAGTATTTTGTATATTACAAGAAAAATTAAAACAAAAAACTAAAACAAAACGTTAAAGTACTGTAATGTTTTACTGCTCATTTATTGTTTATACTTTTTTTATTTTTTGGGCCTTGCCTTGCCTGTAGCCCGTGTTAATTTTTTTTTCTCTTTCTTTTTTTTCCTCCTTGCCTTGCCTTGCCTGTAGGCCTTTTTTTTTTTCCTTTCTTTCTCTTAATGCTTTAAGCCTCTCTTTTGGTTTTAAATTAACTTGACATTTTAGTCACTATATTTTGTAACTTTTTTTTTTAAATTTTAATCATTAAAATTTTATTATAATAAATTAGTTTTTTTCCCTCTTGCTGTATTTTTTAAGCTCTTCTATTGGCTTTCAGTGAATTTTATTTTTATTTTAATTCTTATTTTGTAATTTGTTTTTATCATGGTTATTAAAATTTTATTATAATTCATTTTTGTCCCTATAATAAATATTAAAATTTTATTTTATTTTTATTTTGACCATTAAAATTTTATTATATTCAATTTTTATTCCTATAGTAAATCATTTTTTTCTCTTCCTGTTTTTTTTTTAAGCCTCTCTTTTGGCTTTTAGCGAATTTTATTTTTAATTAAGTTCCTGTTTTGTAAACTTTTATTATTTTATTCATTTAAATTTTATTATATTTGATTTTTTGTCCCTATAATAAATATTGAAATTTTATCATATTTGATTTTTTTTCTTATAATAAATATTTTTTTCTTCACTTTTAGTAAAACTGCTCACGGTTTTATAAGTTTTTTTGTTTTTGTTTTTTTTTTCTTTTAGTGAAATTTTTTTTTATCATTCTTTTATGATATTTACTTTGTTTTGATCATTTAATTTTGATCGTATGTAATTTTATCTCTATTTTTTTGTCAAATTCTCGATTTGATAAAGTTTTTTGTCTTTTTGTTTTGGGCGGTCTCTCTATCTCATTAACAAATTATAAATGAAGAATATATGGTAAAAATTAATCATCTAAAATTCAAAAAACTACCATATTATTATTTTAATTATCGGTTATTATATATATTTCTAATAAAATACATGTTTATATCAAACAATATCTAATTAGCAACATTATATTGCTCAACTTTACTGCAGTGCTTTTTGTTTAGCTAACCCTACGGCAAAATATGAGATATATGTCTTGGTTCTTTTTTTTTTATTTTTTTTTGCGTGATCCTTTTATTATTTTTAAATTTTGTATTTTATATGAATGAATACATAAGAATGTTATATAACTCACTCTGAATTTTTTTCGCGTGATCCTTTTACATGATTATTTAAAATTTTTTTATTTTATATGAATGACCACATAAGAATATTGTATAGCTCATCCCACGACAACGCGCGAGATATATGCTAGTCGGTTCTAAGTCGAGTCATCAAAGGTTTGAACCAAATAATTTACCGAATGAAATAATTCACGGGCAAAAACTTTTATGTTTGTTTTTTAAGATGTTTGACAATGAAGAATAAAATGACGATAATTAGAATGTGTAAGTTTTTTATTCTTATTTTGTAGGCATTTGATAAAAAAAATGAAATGGTAGCAAAAAAAAGATTATACATAATTTTATTTCTATGAGGAAGATGGGAATAAAAATAAAAAATAAAAATATACTTTTTTACTTTTAAAATAATGATATCTTATTTTTATTTATTATATATTAATAATTTTTACCACTATCATTACTACCACTGCTGATATCACTACTACTATGGTGGTGATAAAAAAATTATTATCATTATTATCACAATTTCTTACCACCATTGCTCTTTTTCTTATATAGCAACCATCACAATTTTTACTTCACTCAATCTTTTATCTAAAAAATATATTATTATTACTACTACTACTACTACTGTAATACTATTATTATTATCGTTATTATTTTTTTCTTTCTCCTTTACCCCTACAATTACGATCGTTGCAATCGATTCTATAGTTTTTACTATCTTCATAATTGATGATATTATCTTTTTATTCATTGTTTTTATTTATTTAAAAAATAGATATTAAAAGTTTTAAATTTAATTTTTGATTTTTTAATAAATATTTTAAACATTTTATTTTAATTCTTGAATTCTTATTTTGAAATTTAAATTTCTGATCATCAAATCAATCAGATATAAGATAAAAAAAATAAGCAAAGGGCTTTGCCCATCTCCCAAATTTAACAGGGCCCAGCCCATCCCTATTATTTTATTTGGCCCCATCAGCTTTCTAGTTTCGCCAAGGAAAGAGTGGGAGAAAAGATATGACTCGACTCACAATTGGTACACTCGAAGTTTCCTTTTGTCGTTTTATTTTTATTTTATAATTTTTTTTTAATTATAAAGTTTATTGAGTAACTACCCCCATCGGCATTTGTGGAAATGCCATTTTTATTTTATTCTTTTTGTAAATCTAAATTCACCTCTCAAAACTGACGTAAGCCGACTCTTCTATAGTCTCCTGGTTCGCTATGCTATATTCTTGGCCAAACATACTGCTACCGATTTGTTATTCTATCCAATATATATGTTTTAAATAACTATTATAATTCTTGAAATTCATAATCTGTTTTCTTTTTTATTTTCTATTTTTTTCTCACAATAATGAAAATGCTATGATGAGATCGATGTTTGCAGTTTTCTTAATAAACTAAAAAATACCATTACTAATAAACTAAAAGGTATGGGTTTTTTAATAGTAAAGTACTATTATTAGACTACTCACTTACTGTTCATATTGGTTTTGCCTTTTTTTCTTGGGTTGGATACTGTTCACTTCTTCTATTTTTTTTTCTTTTGTTTGAAGTTTACCTCTTTTTAATTTTTTCGAGTATTGTTCTTTTTATTTTTTTTTTGTTCTTTTGTTTCAAGTTGTTGTGAATACATATCTTTTTTTTTTCCCTATCAAGTTAGGTTTCTTTTTAATATATATATATTTTTTAATTTTCAAGTTGTTTCGTTTTGATCTCTTAAGTTCTTTTTTTATTTAATGTTTTTTTTTAAATTTCAGGGTTATTTATTTTGATCTCTTATATTCTTTTTTTTAAAAAAATTTTCAGGTTATTTCATTTTCATCTCTAAAATTTTAAAATAAAAATTTTAATCCTCTATCTAATGCACTACTCATGCTTTTTCTTTGTTTTTTTCATCAATTTATGTTCCTTTTTTTTTATTTTATTAGGTGTTAAAAATTTAAAAAATCAATCGTTGTTTTTTTTTCATAAAAACTAACGGTTATTTAACACTACTCATGCCTTTGTTTTCCTTTACTTTTTTTTCTCCCATCAATTTATGTTCTTCTTTTATTTAATTAGGTGTTAAAATTTTAAAAAATCAATTGTTACTTTTTTTTTTCACACAAATTGACAATTATATGATAATTATGATATTTTTTTACATTTATATGATATGTTTTTAGATTTTAAAATAAATATAAACTACTCTTATTGTATAAAATTGATTTTGTCGATAAAAATTCTCATCAAGTTAATTTTTATTTTTATTTTTTATAATTTTATTTATTAATGAATATGACTTATTTTCTTTGTGTATGGATTTGAATAATTTTTTTAATACCTGTTTTTATTTACTTGATTCTTATATAATCAAATTTAAAAATTGAATATAAGTATTTATTTTCTTATTTTTTACATAATCAAATTTTATCGAAATCAGTTTTGTAGTTTTTATTGCACTCTGTTAACTTCAACATATATTTTATCATTTAATTTTTTAAAATATTTTTTAATTTATTTTATGTATTTTTACCTATTGAGTACTATCATGATGTATAAAAAATAATAACATTAGAGTTATTGACTTTATTAGAAATCAACTATGCATCTACACACATAATACCAACTATTTACTATTATTTTTTAATATTTAAAATGATTTTTTCAAATAAAATAATTGAAATAATCTTCTCATCAATAAATTTTTTTTAAAATAATCTTCTTATCAGTAAAAATGTTTCATCCGTTAATTTTCATATAAGTTTTTATATTAATTGTTGCTTTATTTGTTTATTATGGGTGTTATTTAAGAATAAATGCATAACAAAGAACAAATCATATTTTTTTGACTTCAAAATATAAATATATTAGATGAAATTTTATCTTTTATATTTAATATATTTTAATTAACCGATAAAATAGTATATATTATTAAACCGAGTTAAATATGTTTAGTTTGGTCCGATGCATAGTGCAAGAATCCGAACTATTCATATGTTTAAAATTCCTATTCACTCATTGTTCATATGCATAAAATTACTATTCACTTGATAGCAATTTAAGTAATTTTTATGTGTTGTTTTTTTGTTTTATGTGTTTTTGGGCACTAATATACAAATTTAACGTTTCTTTCTATTTTTCATCCCTCATGTTGTAACATTTTTTTTTCAATCTTTAGTTTTCATTTTTTTTTTCATTTTCACGCAGCATGTACACACACACACACACACACTCTTTCTTTTGATATTTTAAATTAAGATATACGTCGACTTATATTACTTTTATCATTTAAATTTTATTTTTTGAATTTATCATTTTTAATGAAAATTCTCATCCAATTAATATTTTTTATATAAGATTTTATTTACTGATAAATATAATTTAATTTTCTCTATATTTGAATTTTAGAATAAATTTTTAAAACATGATTATTTTTTTTAAAAACAAATTAGTATAATATATATTATGAATTCTTAGAATTTTTCAATGATAGTTGCACATATATAAATATATAATTATTTTATTCTAAAAGGTTAAAAGTGTATTTCAAATAATTTATCTCAGTTCACTAGGTATAGTCAAGACATATAAAAAAATTATTGAATCATTGATTTTATTAAAAATTAACCATACATCTTCCAACATAATACAAATTATTTTCTATGAATATTTTTTTAACATTATATAACAAATTTATTTGTAATAAAATAATAAAATAATTCTTTAAAGGAACCAACTAATTATTCAAATATAGTTTTTTATGCTAATTTTGTTGATTATTTTGTAAATCAACATATATAGATCTAATGTATATATTTTAAAAAAAAATCTTCTCACCAACATTAAATAAGAAGTTTTTTTATTGGTTAATTTTTTATGCAAATCTATACATTAATTGTGACTTTATATTTTGGATGCATTTTTATAATTTTTTTTTTTAAAAGTATCTGCTTTTGAATTCTTAATTAATATTTTAGGTTTAAATTATTATAAGTTTTTATTTAAGAATCCTTACATAAAAAAGAATAAATCATTTTTTTAAGTAAAAATTTATGAAAAACATACAAAAAAAATTGTAATAATTAAATAAAAATAATAAAATTTTTGAATAATTTTGTTCTATCTACTCGTAGCATTGTCTGAATAATTTTAAAAATTAATCTTCTCATTAGAATTAATTTTTTTTATTTTTTATTTTTTTATAAATTTATTTTTCTGGAATAAAAAATTATATTTTTAAAGTTTTTTTTTAAAATTCTGGATTAAATCTATAAAGAAGAATGATTTATGTTTTTTTAAATAGAAAATTTGTAAAAAAATTAAAAATTTTAATTAAATAAAAAATTATAACAAAAAAGTTTTAAAACTTGAAAATGATTTTTTTAGTGGATCCACCACGCAGCGTCGGCAAGCAATTTGTAGCTACTATTGTAATGTCTAGACTCCAACTAAACCGATACATTCATAATCGGGTTATAGCCCAAAACAAATACTCTAGTTATGGGTGGGCTGAATTAGTAAACAAATGGTAATGTCCTATAGACAATAGGCCCACACCCTACTGACGATCCCTATCGAATTATAGAAGCTACTAGAAAAAAACAAAGTAAAAAGTAAACAGCTGGTCTCCTCTCCAGTCTCTATAGACTTCTCTATCTGAATTTCCGATCCGTGTACTTTCTCGAAAGAAACGCATAAATCTAAAATCGTCGACAGTCAACAGTCTCCCCAAAATCAAAATCAAAATGATGGATGCAACAAAGCTATCAGAATTGAAGCAATTTATCGAACAGTGCAAATCCAATCCTTCTATCCTCGCCGATCCTTCTCTTTCCTTCTTCCGCGACTACCTCGAAAGGTATAATTTTATTATCAACTCACAATCACAATCCTTACTTACAGAATACTTGAATTGTTTCACTTCCTATCTCTCTCATTTTGTTTTTTCTTGTTTCGAAACGATTCGTTTCAGTCTTGGTGCTAAGCTCCCTGCCTCTGCTCACAAGGACCACGACTCCAAATCGGTACCCTTATTTTATTTTATTTTTACTTACTTATCACTCATTTAATTATTTGGCACGATTTTTCTTTGAATTGAATATAGAAGAGCTACGTGGCTGAGGAGAGTGATGAGGAAATGGAGGAAAAGGAAGAGTCACAAGTAGAACCTCAAGTGGAAGAGGAGGAGGATGAGATAATCGAATCTGATGTTGAGCTCGATGGCGAGATTGTTGAGCCTGATAATGATCCTCCACAGAAGGTATAAATATATGTATATATATTTTAATTTCTAAAAAATTATAGTACGATGTGTATTGGTTGCATTTTAGTTTTTCCTTTTCTTTTTGTTGTGGTTGTTTTGATTCGATAATGAACTTGACTATTTGTAGATGGGGGACCCGACAGTAGAGGTTACAGAAGAAAGTCGTGATGCTTCTCAAGAGGCAAAGGCTAAAGCAATTGAAGCTATCTCTGAAGGTATGATGTACAAGCTTCGATATTTGGACATACATGTTTGTTTTGATGTGTGGAAATTTTGATTATATGCGTGTGTAGTATCCGAGTAGTTTAAATGGATTTTATGGTGACATCTGTGGCTCTTTCTTGCAGGTAAATTGGAGGAAGCGATTGAGCATTTAACAGAAGCAATTTCTCTCAATCCAACATCAGCAATCATGTATGCCACAAGAGGTACATGATCATTGGGTTTTTTTTGTAAGGTTTCCTGTTGGTGGTATGAAGTTCTATGCATCCGAGTTGTTTGTACAAATTTACTCTGTTGTTAATATTGTGAACTTGTGATGCTTTACAGCTACTGTTTACATCAAAATGAAGAAGCCCAATGCAGCTGTCCGGGATGCTAATGCAGCTCTTGAGGTTGTTGTCTCACCTATTTATTTACACTTGCATATAATTTATTTATGTTTTTGTATGAAGGGATACTTGTAGGTGAAGTTTATACTTATAAATTTTAATGGTTATGTCAGATTAACCCGGATTCAGCTAAGGGATACAAGTCTCGTGGCATGGCACGAGCAATGCTTGGCCAATGGGAAGATGCTGCTAAGGATCTTCACCTGGCATCGAAGTTAGATTATGATGAGGAGATAAGTGCTGTTCTTAAGAAGGTCTCTTTCTCTCTCTATGCATGATTTGTACCTTTTGGTGTGTTTTCGGTGGTGTGAAATTTTAAAATGATGGAACCAATGGAAACTATTCATGAAATGGTAGATATTTAAATGTATCACCTCTTATGTTTTGTTCTTCTGCATGTGAAATATTTGATATTGAACTACAATAGAGAAATGCTAATCACATGTTACATTTCTTGCTGAATATGTTGTGAAATGGAGCATACAGCAGGAGATTCTCCTGCCTTCCCTCTTTTGTCCTGCCTTCTCTCTTTTGAATTGATAAATGTGATGTGAAATAAGATTACCCTTTGTTTAATTTTAAGAACTAAAATTTTAAGTTTGGTTTGGGAATGAGATTGCTTCATATTCTCATTTATTGTTTGATTCAAGATCATTTAGTAATTGGAGATTATTGCAAGTATGGCATTCTCGATCCATCTTTAGGGCTCGAGTGTGCTACTGATAGTTTCCAATTTCAGAATTGTTAATTTCAGTCGGATGAGTTCACCAAACCAAGTAAAGTAGGAATCAACCAGCTTAGTCTTTTGACTAGTTGGGCCCTGCCTTTGTAAAATAGGTTGATACATGTGTGGTTGCTTGCTTTTTTAGTTCACATGATTGAAATACTGAAAGAAAAATCTCATTGGTGCATTGCGTAATAGTTTTTTGCCATCTCACTGCAAACTGCTATATTACATAGGTTGAACCAAACGCACATAGGATTGAGGAACACCGCAGGAAGTATGAAAGGCTACACAAAGAGAGGGAGGATAGAAAGGCTGAGCGTGAGAGACAACGTCGTCGTGCTAAAGCTCAGGTAACTATGATCCTGATTGTCCTGACATATTAGCTTGCTGTCATCATGAGACTTATTTTCTCCTGTTTAAAGGCTGAGTATGAGAAGGCCAAGAAGCAAGAACAGTCATCTTCCAGTAGAAAACCTGGAGGTGTGCCAGGTGGATTTCCTGGTGGAATGCCAGGAGGATTTTCAGGAGGTATGCCTGGGGGAATGCCTGGAGGTTTCCCAGGTGCCACACCAGGAGGCATGCCTGGTGGTTTCCCAGGAGGGATGCCAGGAGGGATGCCTGGAAATGTTGATTTTAGCAAAATATTGAATGTAAGTGTCATAGAACTTGTTACTGATTTGTCATTCTATATCATATACAAAATCAATTTACGATGCTTCTAAGTACACGTTAATTGTTTGCTGTTTATCATATACAAAATTAATTTATGATGCTTCTAAGTACACGTTAATTGTTTGCTGTTTAGAAATTCTTGTTGAATTTTTTTGGGCTAAATACAGATAACTTTGGCTATATTTTCTGTCTAAAATTATTATCGATTTTTTTGCCAAATATGAGCAAAATTGGCTATGCGTTTTACTTTGATGATATGACTGCATTCCCTGCACCCACTCCTACACTGGCACCAGTACTCGCACTCCTACACATGCTTTTATGTAAGGCATAAGGTGCATAGCTCAATCCCTTGATTTTCTATTGTGTTGTGCTTGTTGTTTGATGTGTATTTTATTGTCTGATGTTTGGCCAGGATCCTGAATTGATGGCTGCATTTAGTGACCCAGAAATCATGGCTGCGCTTCAAGACGGTAGATACTTTTTTTCACTTTATTATGTTTTATTTGTTTTTCCTTGTCATTTCCAATTTAAACCATGACAAATTAGCTTCTTCTGGTTGGTCTCATGTGAGAGTATTCACGTAGTTATGTTTCTAGCCAGGGTAATAGAAAGATATCCTTATGAAACATGTGCCTGAGTAAACAGGATTGAAGGATGTTAAGAAACTAAGATTAGCAACTTACAAGTCATTATGTGTAAATTATTCACTAATTACCCATACAGTGCATTTCTCACGATTTCTCACTCAGATAAATTTTTACACTAATGTTCCTGTATAATTCTAATTTACATTGTTGGTAAGGTTTCTCATGCTTTTGGGTGATAATTTTGCAGTGATGAAGAACCCAGCTAATCTTGCTAAGCATCAAGCTAACCCCAAGGTGGCTCCTATAATTGCAAAGATGATGGGCAAATTTGCAGGAGCTCAGTGAGTGTTCGAATTTGACAGTGCTTGGGTTAACCCTTATGTGTTCAGTTGTAACGGCTTGAGAAATCGTGTGTAGCTGTCTTGCTTTTTAATTACTGTATTGACAATGACCAAGCTGCTTGGCTACAACTTGTCGTGCTGGGAATTTTTCTTTCCTGACTGAGACGATTCATTTCATAGAATGAAGAGAAGCTTAGATTTCATTCAGAAGTCTTTATGAGCTGTGGTATGTATGTTTTAAGAGCACGATTTGGTTGCTTTCTCCTGCTGTTCCCCACTGTAGATAGGCTGTGGTGTGCAAACTGCAGGTGTTACAGCTAAGCAATAAAAGCTGCCCTAGTCTTCTAATCTTTCAAGTCACCTCTCTTGGGCACATAAAGCAGGGACGTGCTGCAAAACCAGAAGCATAAATCAATGGGGTAATTGGTTTGATGGTATCTTGAATTTTTGGTAAAACGAAGATTAATATCTGTACTTCATATTTTTGTAGTTTTGAGTTTTTTTTTTTTTTTTATTTTTTGTTTTGTAATTGAGTTTATCTTTATCTTTGACCCAACATCTAGCGTAATTTTTCGTTTGGGATAATGATATGACTCAATAAACAAAAATATATGTGGTTTTGTTATGTCATATGTATTATGATAGAATACTAAGATATGAAACGACAAATTAACTCGTACAAGTGTTTTTTTCATTTTCATCAACACCATTCCATTAAACCATTTTGTATTCATCTTCTTCCTCCTTTTTATCCTCAGACGCTTTGACATCACTATCATTTTTAAAAAACATTTCCTCTTCATAAGCATCTTTTATCTCTTTTTTTTTTTTTTTTTTTTTTTTCATGTCACCCGAGTTAGCCAACTCTTTGTTTATTTTCATTTTAACTTTCACCGCCTCCTCCTCCATAGAACACCCAAAAAGCTCTCCTCTTTCAAGCTTTATTTTTTCTTCAAACACCTACATAGTACCTTTAAAAGAAGACTTATTAGCAATTTTCTTTTTCGCTTCGAAAACTGAATTAGACTCGTTAATAACTAGGTTCTTAACAACAAATCCTTTATCCTCCATTTTTTTCTTAAAATCTTAACTAATCTTTTTAAGGTTCTCAAAAAACTCTGTAGAATGAAAATCAAGAATAGAATTGGCAAAATTTGTGAGCTTTTGATAAAAAAGGTTGATTAGTTTTTGAAAAATAGTGGGTGTTATTTGATTAGCCGTCGAGGTGACAATAGTTGTTAGCTTTTGATAAAACAAGGTCGATTGGTTTTTGAAAAATAGTGGGTGTTATTTGATTAACGGTTGAGGTGACATATTTGTTAGTGGGGTGGTGAAGGGCATAACGACAACCGTTGGAGAGAAAAAGGAGCAGCAGCAGCATGAGCGGTAGTGATAAGGTTTTAATTTTATTCTTTTGAATGTTTGAGTTTTTTTTTTTACAAGTTGAGGGAGTCAGGTTTTGCAAATGATTTCATGGCTAGGGTTGCAAAATGTCAATTCGAAAAGCATCACCACCTCTAGTAAATTTTGAGAGAAGTAAACATAATTTTGAGTTGGCATAGTGAAAATTGAAGGAAATATTTTTTAATGAATTTGTAGTTTGGTGTTATGTTTTGTTTATGATATAAAGTTTGCTTAAAAAAAAAGTGATAAAATGTCGAAGTGAGATTTTTTTATTGTAAATGTGATACGTTGTTAAGTTGTTAGATTTTAATTTGAGTTTTTTTAATTATTTTATTTTTACATATCTGTCATGAGTCATAAATTATTATTCAACAGAAAAAGTAAACTCGATTACAATATATATATTACTTAAATTGAAAATATTAAAATTGAAGTACCAATTTTTGTTTGACCAAAGTTCAGAATATTATAAAACCAATTAGCCTTAAAGGATACATCCATATTGAAATGGAGTACCCGTAAAACGGAAAACACTCAAATACGAGTTTGGCCCTGAAAATTAGGTGTCGGGGAGACTACAATGCTAAATGTACGGGTTTGGAGCGCTGTTGCCATCGAGAAAAGGTTGCATGAGGCCGGCCATTGATGCCTGAACTAGACATATCTACTTACGTTGGTACCTTTCCGTATCATCAAGGGAGTCCAGCCCTATTTTTTGAGCTGAACCTCACATGTTTTTACTTCAAAAAATTGCTTCTTCAACAGGCAGGCACGAAAATGATCCGTCACCCGTTGGGATTTGCCAACCAATGACATGTCCTTTTTGCCTCTAAAGACTAGTCAATCTCTGATCTTTGGAATTCTTTCATCTCAAACATCTTCTCAATCTCATTCTATGGAGATTAAGATATATGTACGTCATAATAAATTCTTTTTTAGCACCTCTGCTTTTAACCTTTTTCTATTTGAGTTCCTATACTATCAAGACATGGACCATCGAGTACATTTTGTATCAAAAACATCCTTGCCAAGAGTACTGTTAATCAGTAATGAAAAAAGGTATTTTGATGATGGATGTAACTGATTGATAATTCTTTTACACGTACAAGAACTTGAACAGAAAATTAAAGCAGAGGAGCTCAATTAGAAGTTTTTCATAAAGTACGGGTACTAAGGTTATGGTAATCTGTATTTTCTATAAGGTAGCCACCTAGCTAGCCCGTGACTATGCAATCATCCAGGGGAAGGATGGATCAGAGGTTATGTTGGCTAATTTAAGTGAAAGCAAATATCTAACTTACCCAAAAAATTTGGGTGTAGTTCTTTTTTTATCTCCCTTCTCTCAAGAACCTCAACAAGCTTGTTTAAACTACTAGATCGGGCCTTTACCAAAGTTAAAACTTTCAGCAAGTACATCCAACCCCCTTTTTCTACTTCTCTACCAACCATGATCGACTTTTTTTGAAATACTTATCATGCGTCTTTGAAGAATATGTAACCATATTTTAGCTACATTTGACCCATCAAGGAAAGCTAAGTTATGTTAGTCGTATTGGAATGAACAGGTCACAATATCACTGATTACTTAGTTGATTGTCCAGACCATTCGAATGCCTATTGCCTATCCTTTCAGTGGGATGAGCTAGATCCCCTCTCTAATGCGTGCACGAGATATGTTTATTGCAACATTGAAAACTAAAATTTTGTATTCCAATTAACATCCATAGCATGCCACCCAATACGCGGGCTTTTTTTTAGCTAGATTTTCTTTTTCCCCTTTGTGTTGTATTATTCAATTTAATGTGTTGTCTTTTTTAATGACGGCAATATTGCTTGATAATTACGTAATTAGGCAGTCTAATGAAATTATCAACTGTCTTCACAATATAGCAATGTTTCTAGTCAAATTAATTGAAAGTAATTAACTCAATGTTTACTAAATGTGCCCATTAATGGGTAGTTCGTAAGTCACTGTGAAGTGTGCTTGATGGTGTTTTGAAGCATAATTGTGCTCTCCTTTTTTGGACCCTCGTCATCAACACAAGTGGGATAATTGGATGCCGACATGTAATTAGTAATTAGTTTAAAGCAAGTAAGGCAGTTAAACATGTGATTTACAACATATAATATTATTAATTAGTTCAGTTCACTAGATATGACGGTAATATTTTAGCTCGGGAAAAAGCTGATCAGGGAAAAGCAAAATTGTCAAAATTGTAATAATTCAGCGTCATAGTATAATAATAAAAATATTATTGCGATAAAGCAAACGCTTGATCTCAAAATTGCGTCTACATGAACTCAGGATCCCTGAAAAATTATTTTATTTTTGTGTCAAATCAATATCTGATATTGCTAATAATGATAAATGGAGTATATTTTACCTTCCTTTTTTTTTTTTAACGTAGTTTTTAAGTATGATACCATTGTTAACTCTAATAAAATAGATCAATTGGTTAAAAACGTTTGATTCTTTTCTTGACTTCAAACATTAAAAATAACTAGTTTTAAGATGAATCTATTTATCTAAAAACATAAGATCGTAAAAAGTATACCATCAAAATCGCTTAAGAGAGGACGCAAGGCATGAGCTTCTCTGAAAATACTTCTAATCATTAAAACTCCTAAATCCTCTGTACCCACAAATATTCATACATTCCTACCTAGGTTACCCTTATATATTATTTTCCTATTTTCGTAATTTGCAACGACTTCTCTTCACCAACTTCAAAATTATTTTTGGAAAATGATTTGTCCCCCAACTATCATGCAAGTCTTAACTATGCGCCAAATAAAATAAAATAAATAAATAAAAATTCTAAATTGAATTCTCAATGTATCAAACATTACCCAATCAATCTCCATCATTAAAATTCAGGAAAAATTGTTGGTTTTGTTTTAAGACAAGTAGATATTATTATTATTATTATTATTATTTTTTACGATAACATCTAATACTCGAGGAAACTAATTGCAAATTATTTTTGTTTAGGGATTGAATTGAAAATTGGGTGATAGTCGAGGAATATGTTCTTTCCCTTATTATTATTATTATTATATTTGTTAACCTAGCCTACAGATGCCATCTCATTGAAAATTGAAAATAAAAACCACTCTTTTTTGCTCATTTTCCTAATCAATAAATTACTTAAGTTTCGCTTGATTAATAAAAATGAAAGATTCAAAATAGAAATATAAGAACAAAAATGGTATTTTCATTCACATCCATTATTCTAATGCGATCTAAAAATACATTTCTTCACATTATCTTTAATACACGTATGAAAATATGCTGTATTTCTATCCTATTTGTAACCCACTTAACTCTTGCTTGATATCTCAACATAGTGTCATCCTATCGTATTAGGTGATTTAACCCAAATTTCTCATTCTTAAGCCGAGTGGCTATTTGATCATTCCATTTTTGAGCCCAATCCGAATCCAACCAAATTATATCATTTGGTAAGACTTCTATCTACCTTCTAATATTCCCAACCACCTCTCGGTTCCACACCTTCGACTTACATTTGAGATGTTTTAGTTTCTAATGTAAAACCTTTATAGGGGAGCCCTTTGCCCTAATATCCCAATTTTTTTTCC